ACTTCCTCCAATCTAGATATTTGATTACCGTTTCCATGATAGATGGACACAATGAGAAGCATCCCCCCCCAAGCTAGAACTCGACACCGGCCTCGGTGTTACACATGATGGGGAAAGAAGAGAAGGGAACGGTAAAAACAAATGTCAAAAGGCTACTCCCGATCATCCTCCCTAGGCGGCGATGGCATGTAGTTATAGTTGAGGTCTACATCGCCGGAAAAGGAAGTTTGATCCACGTATGGAGGAAGATCATAGTTGGGGCTACTACGATAGTGACCGTAGTACGGTGCATTACTAGTGCCCCAACCACCATCATACCCGGGTGGAAACCTGAAGTATCTCCTTAAGAGGTGGTTATCGATCTCCTCGGGAGCCATATTACTACATGTCTCGGGGATTGGTAATAAGAAGGGTCCCCTCTAAAATCACAACCCCCGGGTTGTGTATAATCGTAGGGAGGGAAGGATAGTTGGTTGGTTGGTTGTTTTTCCAACCCGCAACCGGCCCCTCTTGAACGGGGCGGTGAGGATAGTTGACATAGGGGAGAAAGTCTCCCGTCTCAACTTGGTTTTGATAGGACATTTGAGACACATAACTTTGATATTCATTTTCCTTCATAATTCTTTGGTTGGTTAGATTAAGATGGCGAAAGGCCAATTCAAGGTCGAAGGAGGAAGAAGAAGAGGAGGAGCCGCCCAAAAACCTAGGAACGGTAGAAATACTATGGCGGCGAGGTTGAGATGGTTTGTCAAGGTCGGGAACATTCACAGGGAGTGGCTCAATTGGCACTTGCCAAGTGTTCCCCACAGTGTTCATTACCGCCGCATTAGGGAGAATGCAACGGTGCTTACCTTTGACCAACCAAGAGTATGTTGTCACATTACCACGGAGTTCCACAAGCATTTGCATTAAGGCAAGTCCGGGAATGTCAAGGGCATTGGACCCGTTAACCGGGGTCAATTGCTCAACCCAATTAGTGAAACCCAAAGCCTTGGCAATTATTGTGATCATCCCACCACATTTTATCTCCCCTCTCAACTCCGTGCTCCTCTTAATCTCAATGCACCTTTGGATAAACAAGTATCCCATATTCACATTACCCTCAAGGTCTCCCTCAAATTGGGAAGCTATAAAGAGGCATTTGATCTCCTCTTTTGTTAGCTTCCCGAGATCTTGTTTAGAGAAACAAGCGTACCCCATAATTCTCATGAATATACGGAGTACGGGGTGGAAAATGTGGCTAGCATGGCTAGACCGGGTGATGAAATTAGGATACCCCGCAATAGTATTCCACCAATTTTGCTCTTCGTAGCTAGAAAGGTAGAAACTATCGGGGTTGTCTATTTGATAATATACAGGCCACTCAAATATTTCATTGAGGCGAGTTAAGGTTAAAGTTTTTTCTTGATTGAAAAGTTTAAACTTAATTTCACACTTAAAACGCTCTCCCTCACCATTGATTCGGCGCATGGTTAGGGTTGAAAGGAACTCGAGAGTGATCGATTCATAGGTTATCTCCCTCTTCTTGAGGAAGTTTAACCATCCGAAATTATCGGCCACTCGCCGAATTCCTTCATCTACACCTAAGAGATGGCAAGCTTTTTGGTCATAAAATCTCGTAGGAAGGATTTTTCGTTTTGAAAGCTCGGAGTGATACTTTTTGAATTTTTCGGGAATTCTAATGGGAGGGGGACCATTGTCTTGGTTTTGTGTTTGGCTTTGGTTTTGGTTTTCGGGTATTTGGATGCCGGAAGTCTTTCTCTTCTTTCTTGCCGCACCTCCAAATAATCTTAATACCATTTTGACAAAAGCGAAATAAGGACTAAAAGGATCACTCAATACAACTCACACAAACACCAAAATGCACCAAACACAACCTCCTTAACTTCAAACCCCCAAATTAATCCAAGTACCTGTTTCAAGAACTCAATATATATATACCAACACAACCAATAAGGATTTTCCAACACACAATTTCACAATCAACAATGAACTTCAAGTTCACACCAATCACATGCACAAAAATTCACCACACTCATGCAATTTTTCAATCACAATTTCACTACTCCAAAAATCAATCACAATTTTCCACCAACCATTTTCAATTAGCAACCATTTTGTTTGAAATCACCTAATCATGCAACTAATTACACAATGTTTATGAAATACACAAATTTGTAAAGCTTGAAGAGGGAAAGTGAAGTAGGGAGGTAGAATATACCAACTAGAGTATGAAAATTCTCTAGAACTTGCTAGTTTGCTCGATTCTTGCTTCCTTTGCTCCAATTCCTTGAAAAATCCAAATTTTCCTTTGATTTTCAATGGTGGTGTTCTAGGGTTTGAAATTTTCGTGCTTGAATTTCTGTAAATTTTGTGTTGTTGGATAGAGAATTTAGTGGAGAAGAGGATTTTATGAATTTTTAGTGAAAAATATTGAGATTTGGTGATGAAATTGAAGATAGAAGTTGGATTATATGAGGTTTTTAGAGAGAGAAGTAGATGGGAAGGAGGAAAGAAAGTATGAAAGTTTAAATGAGTGGTGAAGAATGAGTGAAAAAGGGTAAAAAAAGATAAATAAATCTCCCCTCTTTTTTTTTCCCGGACAGGTAGGAGCGGGCGTGCAGAGAGGAAGGAGCGCCCGCTCCAAACTGCAGAAGGGAATCTGTTTTTCCTATCCCAGCTAGGAGCGGGCGTGCAGGTGAAGGGGAGCGCCCGCTCCTTTAAACAATTTTGGCTACGACATTGGCCAGGAGCAGGCGTGCAATGCTTATGGAGCGCCCGCTCCAATGTTGAGAAGTGAAATCTGCTTTTGCTAACCCAGCTAGGAGCAGGCGTGCAGTTGTATGGGAGCGCCCGCTCCTGATGCAGTTCTTTGGTTCTGATTTCTAATCCAGCACAGAGCGGGCGTGCAGGTCTGTTGGAGCGCTCGCTCCTGAAGATACCTGAAAATTCTGTTTTGTACGGAACATTAGGAGAGGGCGTGCAGTTTTCCAAGAGTGCCCGCTCTACCAGTCTTGAAGCCCACTGTTTCTTTCATTAAGCTTGGAGCGGGCATGCTTAGTGATAGGTGCGCCCGCTCCAAGTTGTTAACAGCTTCCTGTTTTGCTTTCTTCGGCTCTTTTTGCTTCAAGTTCCTATAACAAAACCACAAGAACATAAATTCAACAATATTAGCCAAAATCAGATATTCCCAACACTCTTATTCTTTTCCTATCTCATTCATTTTTTTTCTTTTTTTTTCTTCTCTCTTTTTTTTTTCTTTTTTTTTTTACTCGGGTTGCCTCCCGGAAGCGCTTCTTTAACGTCAATAGCTTGACGACCTCCACACTCAGAAGGTAAGATTACATTGAGTTGATTCTAAAACACCTACATGAGCACCCTCGTAGTAAAGCTTGAGGCGATGCCCATTCACCTTGAAAGATCTCTTTCCGTCCATATCTCAAACTTCCACGGCTCCATGTGGAAACACTTCCTTGACAACAAAAGGTCCACTCCACCTTGATAAAAGTTTACCGAGAAACAATTTCATCCTAGGGTTATAGAGGAGTACCTTATCGCCTTATAGAAATGCTTTCTTTTAAATGTTCCGGTCGTGGCAATCCTTAGTGAAGATTCTTATAGTTGCTAGCTGTTGGACTTAATGATTTTAATGATGACACAAACTCACTTACTTACAAACTAATAAGAGCTTGATTGTTTAAGTGTGTACTCAGTTACGAAGACTAGGGTAATGAAGTGTGTTGTAAAAATACCACGAGGAACAAGAAGGCCAGAAGCAGAGCTAGCCATACAGAAGAGTTCCCTCACAGGAACTGGCGCTTCATAAATGAAGACTGGAGAAGAGAAGTTCCTTCCAAGGAACAGAAGCCTCGGAGTAGAAGCTTCATCAGAGAAACATGAAGACTAAATATTTTATATATCTTAGGATTTATGTAAGTATAAGAAATTTAGTTACACTCGAAAAATCAGTATGGAATTGGTCTTAGGATAAAATATTGTGCATGCTATTTTTTAGGAAAATTGTTGCAATTTAAATTTTATCTTTTTCTTAAATTAAAAAGATTTTATTTTCTTTTTCTGATTTTCGGAAAATGTTTTTGACAAAATAAAATCTCCACGTTTTCTCTAAACTTGCGGCCTACTCCCCATGTTCTTCTTCTAGACATGGTCTTTCACATTGAGGTGTTCATGGTCCCTTAATTTTAGGGACATGATCTTCTTAGTGGGTATGAAAAGTGGCGTAATGGATTTGCTGCACAAAGAAGTTTTTCCTAAACAAATTTTGGTCTATAAATAGTTGTTGATTTCAGATGGAAAATCTCACCCTTTGCTCACATAAGTTTTCATCTTTTATTCGAGTTAAGAGTCCAATTCCATACAAGTCTATTAGAGTGTTCTAAATGTTCTTATACTAGAGTTTGTTTTTCTTTCGAGTTGTAATTGGGAATAGGGAAGTTCGAGTGAACGTTTGTGTATGAGAAAGAGAAGAGAGAGAGAGAAGAGAAAGAGAAGAGAGAACAGAGAACAGAGAACAGAGAAGTGAGAAGAGAGAAAGAGAAGAGAAGAGTAACAAGAGTAACAACTTGAGTTTGAGTCTTTAGCTTGTAATAGGATCATTTGCCCTATTATTGGTAAGATTCTTTTCCCAAAATCCCAAGTGGTCGTGGTTTTTCTCCTTGTTAGGGCCAAGGAGTTTTCCACGTAAAATCTCTCTTGCATTCTTTAGTTCCTTTAGTTAATCTCTCAGTTCCTTTAGCTAACTTATGTTTAATTCCGCAAAAAGTTTGGCTAAATTCTCATACTACAATTCAACCCCCCCTTCTTGTAGTATTCATTAAAACAACAATTGGTATCAGAGCCTAACTTCTAGGAAAATCAGGAAACCCTAAAGAAGAAAGGTCTTGGAGAAAATGAATGCTCATGAGAAGTTCGAGGAAGGATACTGAACACAGAGGCCTCCTATGTTCAACGGCAAGTTCTATACTTACTGGAAGAAACGCATGGAGATCTTTATCAAGGCAGAGAACTACCAAGTCTGGAGGGTCATCGAGGTTGGTGATTTCGAAGTCACCAAAACTAATGCTCAAAATGAGGTAATCCCTAAGCCTATGTCTGAATATGAAAAAGAGGATTTTGATAAAATGGAAATAAATGCTATGGCTATGAAATTGCTCCACTGTGGACTTGGACCTCACGAACACAATCGTGTTATGGGGTGCAAGATCGCTAAGGAAATCTGGGATTTGCTGCAGATTACTCATGAAGGAACTAATGAGGTTAAACACTCAAAAATCGATCTACTTATGTCCAAGTATGAAAGATTTGAAGTGCAGCCTAAGGAAACCATTCAAGAGATGCTAACCCGTTTTACTAACATCATAAATGAGTTGGTTTCCCTTGGTAGACAGATTCCTACAGATGAGCAGGTTAGGAAGATTCTTAGAAGTCTTCCACAAGATGAGAGGTGGAGAGCTAAGGTGACAACCCTTCAGGAAACGAAGGACTTTACCAAGTTCAATATTGAACAACTAGCAGGTTCTCTCATGACTCATGAGCTACACCTTGGAGTCAACAATGAACCCATGAGGAACAAGGGATTGGCTCTTAAGGCGTATGAGGAGGAAGACTCAGAAGTGGACGAGGATGACGCTGCCCTAATTGTGCGAAGATTCAAAAAGATGTTCAAGAAAGGCCGAACCTCAAGGAACTTCGGGAAAAAGACCTCAAATCTAAAGCCTGACTACAGCTGCCACAAGTGTGGATCCCCAGATCACTTTATCAGAGATTGTCCCCTTTGGGAAAATGATAAAGGAAAAGGAAAGGCTAAGGAACAGGGAAGAGAAAAATTCAGCAAAGAAAACTATCAGAAGTCAGACATGAGGAAGGCCATGATAACAGCCTGGGGAGACTTAGAGAGTGAAAAAGAAGATGATGACCAGCCAGAAGAGGAGACGGCCAATCTTTGTTTGATGGCCAAATCAGATGATGAAAAAGCTTACCTTGAAGAACTCCCAAAAGAGGTATTTCTTGATCCTAAACAGCTTAAAACACTCTCTAAAGATGTCTTAATAGATATATGTCTTGAAGAAGAAGAATTTTTTAGAGATACATGTGTAAAGTTGAACAAATGTGAAAAAGCTCTTAAGGTTTGCAAAGAACATGGTGCTTGGTTGGAAAAAGCCTATGCCAAGTCTCAAAGCAAATTAAGAGAGCTTGATTTTAAATACAAACACATAACTAAGATAGCTGATAGGATTAAGAATGAAAGTATTCTTCTGAATGTTGAATTAACTCAGTGTAAGCTCATAAATTCTGATATCAGTTCTAGCAGTTCCTCAAGCGATCAGTTGCTTAAATTCAATGTTGATTTTGAAAATTTGAAAAATGAGCTTTCTACTTTAAAAACTCAAAAGGATCAACTTGAATCTGAACTGAATGCTAGAAAGGATAGAAGTATTGACCCAAAAGTTATACCTAAGTGGATAGCTGAAGCTCAAGGAAAAAGAACTGAAGGCCTTGGCTATATGACCAAGAGGAAAGGTAAGCAAAAGAAATATGTTGAGCTTCCTAGCAGGAAGGTATGCACTTTTTGTGGTAAGTCTGGACATCTCTTTGGACAGTGTAGGATAAGAGAAGAAGCTGATAAAAGAAATGTAAAACAAGTGTGGGTCAAGAAAACTGATATTGCATCTATGTCTAAGGAACCCAAGGAAACCTAGGTTCCTGATCCTAATGCTTAGTTTTCTTGCAGGTCCTAGTGAGGGGGAACAACTCGTGGTATCTCGACAGCGGTTGTTCAAAGCATATGAAAGGTGATAAATCAAAATTCCTCTCACTAGAAGACTACCCTGGAGAAACAGTAACCTTTGGGGATAATAAGAAGGGCGAGATCAGTGGAAAAGGCAAAATTGGTAGATCAAAATCTCATTCCATTGATAATGTGTTCCTGGTCGAGGGCTTAATGCACAATTTGCTCAGTATATCAAAATTTTGTGACAAAGGAAACTCTGTAAGTTTTACTTCTGATTCTTGTAACATCATCAACAACAAGTCAAGAAAGGTTGTTCTAGAAGGAACAAGAAGAGGGAACACTTATACAGTTGACCTCAACTTAATCCCAAGGAACAACCTTACATGTCTGAGTGTTGTTGAAGATAATCTCCTGCTATGGAATAAACATTTTGGACATGCTAGCTTTTCATTACTGGACAAGCTAAGGTCAAGGAACTTGGTTGTGGGACTTCATATTATCAAGTTCCTACAGAACAAAGTTTGTGATGCATGTGGGAAAGGCAAGCATGTTCGCTCATCTTTTAAATTGAAGAAAATGGTGAGCACTACAAAGCCTTTGGAATTAATCCATATGGATTTGTGTGGTCCCATGAGAATTCAGGGCAGGAGTGGCAAGAAATATGTTTTGGTTATTGTTGATGATTATTCTAGATTCACTTGGGTTATTTTACTTGCTAGTAAAGATGAAACTTTTAACGAGTTTGTTGCCTTTTCCAAGAAAATACAGAAAATCAGTGGTCACTCCATAGTCCATCTAAGATCAGATCACGGAATTGAATTTGAGAACTCAAGATTCGATGAGTTTTGCAGGGAAAATGGCATGAATCATAACTTCTCAGCTCCAAGGACTCCCCAATAGAATGGAGTTGTAGAAAGGAAGAATCGAACCCTTGAGGAAATGGCTAGAACGATGCTGATTGCAAGTGGATTGCCAAGGAACTTCTGGGCTGAAGCCGTGAATACAGCATGTTACATCCTTAACAGGGTAACAATCAGAAGTATCATCAACAAGACTCCCTATGAACTATTCAGGGGAAGAAAGCCAAACATATATCATCTTAGAGCCTTTGGTTGTAAGTGTTTTGTACACAACAATGGTAAGAAAAACCTAGGGAAATTTGATGAAAGAAGTGAGGAGGCCATATTTCTAGGATATGCCTCTGATAGCAAAGCTTATAGAGTTTACAATAAAAGCTCAATGTGTTTTGAGGAAAGCATTCATATAATTTTTTATATAGTTAACCAGTTTGTGAGTGTGCAGGAACGAGAAGATGATAATGATTTTGAAATTGGATTGATAAGAGACAGGGATGAAGAAGAGACTCAAAAGCAAACCAAGGAAAAGCAGCCTGCTCCAAAAGAGGAACATCAAGAAAATGGAGAGGTTCCTCAACCAGATGAACAGGTGAATGAGGAACAAGCAGAAGGAACAGAAACAGAAGCTCCTCAAATTGGAGTTCCAGCAAGGGAATTCCAACCCAGACCATTCCGGTATCGAGGTTCCCATCCAACTGATCTAATTATTAGTGATATAGGAAAAGGAACTCAAACAAGATCACAAATGAGGAACTACTGTGCATTCCATGCATTTCTGTCCATTCTAGAACCAAGAAATCATCAAGAAGCCTTGGGAGATGCTGATTGGATAGTGCCATGCAAGAGGAACTCAATGAGTTCGACAGGAACAAGGTTTGGCACCTTGAGCCAAAGCCTAAGGGAAAGAAAATAATTGGGCTCAAATGGGTGTTCAGGAACAAGCTTGATGAACATGGCACCATAGTAAGGAACAAGGCTAGATTGGTTGTAAAGGGCTACAACCAACAGGAAGGTATTGATTTCGATGAAACCTTTGCTCCTATAGCTAAATTAGAAGCTATTAGAATCCTAGTGGCTTTTTCTTCTTTTATGGGTTTCAAACTCTATCAAATGGATGTGAAATGTGCTTTTCTAAATGGTTTCTTAAATGAGGAGGTGTTTGTTGAACAACCTCCAGGTTTCGAAAATCCTAAATTTCCAAATCATGTTTTTAAGCTTGATAAAGCTCTCTACGGGCTTAAACAAGCTCCAAGAGCCTGGTATGAAAGACTTTCAAAGTTCCTACTGAAAAATGATTTCAAAAGAGGAAAAGTAGACAAAACTCTTTTTCTTAAATCTCGAGGAACTGATTTGTTAGTTGTACAGATCTATGTAGATGATATTATATTTGGTGCTACTAACAATGGTTTGTGCAAGTACTTTGCTGAGATAATGGGTGGTGAGTTTGAGATGAGCGTGATGGGTGAATTAAATTTCTTCCTTGGACTTCAAATAAAGCAAACAACCGAAGGAATAATGATTCACCAACAGAAGTATGCCAAGGAACTTCTGAAGAAGTACAACATGGAAAATGCCAAGACAAATCATACTCCTATGGGAACAACAATAATAATTGACGAGGATCCACAAGGAAAAAGTGTGGATCAAACCACTTATAGTGGTATGATCAGTTCATTGTTATATCTAACAGCCAGTAGGCCTGACATTTCCTTTAGTGTTGGATTGTGTGCTAGATTTCAGTCTAATCCTAAAGAATCACATCTAACGACTGTTAAGAGAATTTTGAGATACCTCAAAGGAACAGATGACCTGTGTCTGTTCTATCCTAGAAGTGATGACTTTATGCTTAGAGGATTCACAGATGCTGACTATGAAGGTGACCTAGTCAATAGGAAAAGCACCTCAGGTATGGTTCAGTTCCTTCGCTCTTGTCTAGTTTCTTGGGGTTCCAAGAAGAAAAGTATTGTTGCATTGTCTACTGCAGAGGCTGAGTATGTAGCAGCAGCTTCTTGTTGCTCTCAAGTCCTCTGGATAAAACAACAGTTACGTGACTTTGGTATTAAATTTAATTAGATTACTATCTACTTTGATAACACTAGTGCAATTTACATATCTAAAGATCCAGTCCATCATTCAAGAGTTAAGCATATTCATATAAGGCATCATTTCCTTAAGGATAATGTTGAAAAGGGTTTTATTAAATTAGATTTCTGCCAAACTGACAATCAAATTGCAGATATATTAACAAAACCCTTGAATAGAGAAAGGCATGAGAAGATGAGAATGGAATTTGGGATGATTAAGTTATACTAAGAAAAATGCATCAAGTTCCCTCAGGTATGAAACTCAAACTGACGTGCTTAAACTATTGTATACTGTGCACAAGTGTTATATGTTTAATTACATAGTTAAGGCAAGTTGTGAGCAAGAGTAACATTTACTAAGGGCATGTAAATTTAAGAGTCATAGATATTAGAAATCCAAAATTGATTGCATGAGCCTTGTTGAATTGTTCCGTGTATCAAGTTGTATTTGCAAGTGGATTATTAATTGATTCAAAAGATAAAATTATTGTGTTTATCTGATCTTCAAAATTCCATTTTTTTAAACACTAAATTCAGATGAATATATCAAAATTCATCATTATCTTTTGTTCAAAAAGTTGCCCACATCCATTACTATCTTGAAACATGGTTTGCGTTTCCCTAAGCGTTAAATAGGAGTGTCTAATCAACTAAATTCACCTTACCTCTCAAACGACACCTCACTTATTCACTCCCTCAAGTTACCTCCACCATAAAAACATGGCAGCCTCACCAAAATTTACACCATTCAAAAATTACCCTCTCTCTCATCAATCCGATCAAAATTTCTCACCAATGTCTGTCTCACCAAAAACCTAAACTGAAGCCGAAGAACACACAAACCCTATTCCAGAAATCACCATGGAAATCATCCCCGAAACTCAAAATCCTGAGCCTCAAAATCCTGAGCCTCAAAAGAAGGAATCTCCTATTGAGTCTAATTCTTCTCGAAAAATAAAAATCGAGGACATGCAAGAAGAGGAGGAAAGCGTTTCGGGGATGGGTGTCAACTAACGAGACAAGCCTGCCTCTATGAAGAAACAGGAGAAAATCAATGACCACTTCGTGACAGGTTTGGCACTTAATTTACCTTGGTGTAAATCTGTTAAGCTTTATGAATTGTTGGATTTGTTTGAAGCTCAAAATTGGGTGAATCTGTTGGGTGAGTATTTTAATCTAAGTTTGTATGTTAATGCTATGAGAGATTTTTGCAAAAGCTTTAAGTACTCTAAGGGTACTATTCACTGCTGTGTGTATGGGAAGGCTATTGAGTTTGATGCTATGTATCTGGCTGAACTGTTTGATGTGCCTAATACTGGATATGATATTTATTTCAAAGATAATGTGATAAGGAACCCTATTCCTGATGCTAATATTGATTAAATAGTGGAGTATTTAGGAGGAGACCCGGAGGAAACCTACATAAACCACAATGACCTAACCCCTCTTGACAAAATCCTGCTGAAATTTCTGTTCAATGACATAATCCCTCGTTCTCAAAAGAGAGACAGTGCCAACAAGCTTGACTCTGTCTTAATTTACTGTCTAGCCAAAAAGCTCCAAATAAATTTCCCCTCTATCATGATCCAACACCTGTCTCATTGTGTTCCTAATGGTTGGAAGGTTGGATGTGGTAACCTGCTTACTTATGTGTTTGAAAGTTTTGGCATTTCTTTGCTGACAAAGAACCCCTGCCCCTCAAAAACACCGAATATATACAACCCATTTTCCTTGAAAACCATAAGATGAAAGTTGTAGATGGGTATTTTGAAGTTGTGCAGGAAGATAAGAGGCCAAAAGAAGTAGGTGGACCAGTTGAGGGGGAAGTAGGAGAAGATCAGGCAGGAGAGGCCATAGGGAATGTTGTTCAAGAGTTGCAGAAACAAGAGGAGGTAGAGGAAAGGCAGGTGGAAGAGGTTATTGAGACAGGGGGAAGAAAGAAGAGGAAGAGTTTGAGGTTGATGAAGAAAAAGGAGGCTCCAGCACCTATCTGCATTGATATAACTGGGGTACAAGAGGAAATGTAG